GAAGAAGTATAATAGTCGATTACACGACATTGAAGCAAAACCTGGTAACAAAAGTTTTTTCTTTTAAAAAGTGAAAGAACCTTTATTCAAAAGCATCGATATTCGAACGATCACACGAGCAGATTCAAATCTAGAGTCAAAGCCAGATTGAATAGATCAATCTCATAGGATTTTGGCAGTGGACAAAGCCCTAGGGTCCGAACCTTCTTCAATACTTGGCCGAGAACAACCACGCAGGGCTGACAACGGCAGACGGCGTCCGACGACGAGCTCGACCAAGTATGGAGTGCTTGCTCGCCAACGAAGAAAAATGGATTTTAGGGAGAATTAGCTCACTAAAAAATAAAATTTATATTTTGTTAAATAAATTTATGCTTCTATTAATTTTTTTTTTTGGGCCATCAAGGCTTCTATTAACATTTAACAACTATCATCATCGTCATCGTCGTTTATGTACTATTACCTTGAGTAGTTAATATAAGAACTAATTACTTGATTTAAATAGATTAAAAAAACTAATTAAATTAATTATTCATAATAAATAGATATTGTCTTCTCTAAAATATCATCACTAATTAAATGTATTGTTAGAAATACTATTATTACAATGATTACTTTTTTTAAAAATAAATATATATATGAAAAGCAAAGTACATTAAGGTCTTATATTTAATACTAAAATAAAAGTCAAACAAATTCTTATATTAAAGACCATAGGTAAGATTATATATGAACTTTTGTATAGGATAGGTAGTCATCCTCATAATTAGATAATATTAAAAAATTATTAAATTAATTATTTATAAACATATATTTTGATTTTGATAGAGTACCTTTTTAATAATTTGCATTAGATACTAGGTGTAATATCTTGACTTTCAAGATATTAAAAAAATTAGGAAGAATTATGAAGAAATAATTATTAAAATTATTTAATGTCCAAGAAAATTGAAAAAGAATTATGAAATATTAATTTTGAGAGTTTAGGATATTATGAAAGAGTTAATTTTCTCAAAAATGATTTAAATAATTTTGAAACTAATTCTCGGAGAAAAAAGGCTTATTTCTCATAAATTCAAGAAAAAATAATTAGATAATTATATTTGGATTGAAATTTTTAGGAAAATTATTATATCAGTTAAAGAAGCCAATTGAGGCAGAAAATTTTTAAAATGAATTAAGGATTAAGTTTTAAAATTTAGAAATTAATTTTTGATCTGGATTTTTAAGAGAAACTATTTGATGGGCCAAAAAAACTAACGGACAAAGAAAATTTATTAAAACTATTGAGGATTAAATTTTGAAATTTTAATTAATTCTGAAAATAGAGGATTTAATTGTAAGCAAATGGTGATTAAGGAGCATATTGATAATTTCATTTGCTCTCTCCCACTTAAACCATAGAACTAGTTTCAGTGCTGATCAAATTGATGAGCACTTTAAATTTATCATATCTGAACTGTTTATATATAATTTGAACAATCCAGATTTAAAATTTTTAATTAATTATTTTTAAATATAAAATTATTTTTTTAAAAGAATAATAGTTAAGAGATGTTTTCTATTTTGAATTTTATACCTGTTAAAATAATTATTTTAAATAAATAAAAATAAAATAATTAAATTTTGACTATCTGAATCAGATATGAACGGTCCAATCTGATCACTAGCTAGTTTAAACCATCCCATTCCCTTCCCATTTTCATTTCTTGCGACGCTGAACCAGAGAGAAGGAGCGAGAGAGTCCGAGAGAAATATCTTGCATGCAACCGGTGATCTAGAGTAAGGTAAGCCTCCTGAATCTTCTCCTTTCTTCATTTCTCTCTGATGGGGTATGTTTTGTAACTGTTAAAGACGGTAAAATCTGGTTGTAAGAGACAGAAAGTGCCAGTTTTAAGAGAGAGAAAGTGCCGAGATAGGCTGTGTTAAACGGTCATAATAGAGTTTGTTGAAGGGGTTTATGCTCATGCATGTCTATTATATGCTCTGGATTATTGTTGCAGAAACAGGGGTAATGACTTAGAAAAATGGCGTCGGACATAGCTTGTGAAAGTGAAAAACAATGATCAAGCATGTAGTGTTGGGTTTAAGGGATTGCATGTGATAGTTTGGATCTTTGTTGGGTGTATTTCGGATCTGAAAATTTTCAGATTCATTGAATAAAGTTGTTTGAGAATTTCAGAAGATAAGGGCGTTGATAAGTCCTTTGAGTTAGTAGCTTCTAGTATTGTTGAGAAAGACTCTGAAATTTTGATTAACAAAATTATGCATGTAGATGAGTCTTTCCAACAAGTTTTGTCTTGTGATTTACCTCCTGATTTAGTTAGCTGTGTCAATAGTAGTATTCTACATGAATCTTCTTCTGCTTTCATGTTTTTACCTTCCAACTCTTGTGAATGTGATAGTGATGTGCTGTACTCTAATAACTGTCAGTTGGATTCTTCAGTTTCCACGTCACATGAACCTAAGTGTTTTGAAACTTTAAATGATTGTTTGACTCCTACTGATGGGAGTATCATTGACTTTCTTGGATGCTGTAGCTATTTGAAGAGTCTAAATCATAAAATATCTTTATTTTATTTGAAATCTCTCAAAGTCTACATTGTTAGATTTGGTACTGCTGCTAGGTTGTTTTCTGTGCAAGCACATAATTGGAAGGGACCTCCTCAACACCAAACTCCACCATATGCTCTTGGACCTCTTTCAATTGACTCTGAGCCACCACTAAGAAAGTGCAGTCATCAAGAGAAATCCTTTTTGCTAAGTTTCATGTTTCTCATTATTGATGAAAATTTCTCTTTTAAGAGTCTAAGGCGCTTTAAGCACAAGGTTGTCTCTTTCCTCACTTATTTTCTCTTAACTTTGCATTGACTAACTGTGCTTAACTGAATTATTGAAGAGGATAAGTGTGGGGGAGCTATTCTAGTAGAAAAGTAACCTTGTTTTTGTTTACTCCCTTATTGATCTTCTTTTTCTCTTGTCATTACCTTGTCCTTGGATTTTGCATTAAGGACAATGCAAAATTTAAGTGTGGGGGAGAGATTGTTGTTGAGTTGAGCTGTTTTGAAAAGAAAAAAAATTGCCTTTGGATTTGCTCCTGTTTTCTAAGTATTGCTGCTATAATTGCTCTCTTCTTTGCCTTATTGGTTGATTTCTGAATTGTATCGCATCATTTGAGAGTAATTCTTGCTTAGGAATTTTGTTGTTGGTTTCTATGTCCTCCTGTTTTCATTCGTCTCAGTGTTCTGCACTGCTGTATGGGCGAGTTGCTGTTTTCTCTGTTGCTGAATTTTGACTTTTGTAATCCTTGGGCATCTCTTTTAAAATCCTTTTGCACAATGCTTGTGAATATTGCACGGCTGAGTTTGATTGCATTTGATTTGAGTGATTTCTGTTCTTAGTTGATTAGTATAGTAGAATGTCTTTGGTGCAGTGTTATTAACCTTGTTTCATAGCTTGATTCTTAAGGAGGAAACATCTTGGAGAAAGCCTTGATGGAAGGATTGTTGAGCCATATATTTTCTCATCTTATGTGATTTTCATCTAGTTTTGGTTAATCTCTAGAACTTGTTTAGATTCTTTTTCAAAGCTGCATTAATACCTAGATTTATGAAGATGATAGGGGCATTCATTTCTAAACCTTTACCCAAACACAAACCACTTGATTTAACCTTTGTTCACCCCTTTGAGCCTTCACTTTCATTTCATTCATTTTTTTTAAGCAAGTGTTTTGCATAAGCTACATTTGGTTTTTTATTTTGAAAAGTATATCATTAAAATCTATATCTTTGTCTTCTTGGGTTTGGATGCCAAAAGAAGAAAAAAAGAAGGAAAAAAAATATAGAAATAGAAAAAGGCAAGAAAAAGAAGAAAATGTTTAGAAAAAGCCAAAGAAAGAAAGTTATAAAAAAAAGAAAGAGAAAATAAGTTGCAACAAAAGAATAACTTTAAAATAAGGCATTCCATGGTGGTTTGAAGAGCAAAGATTTCTGTTTCAAAAGGTTAAAATCTGCACTTTGGTGTTGTTTCATGATTGTACTTTAGCTCACTTTGAGTTGATATTTTATTACTCATGCATTTCAGTTGCTAGTTCATTTCATTCATTTGACCTTGCTTTCCAACATTACAACCCTTCAAGTCCCCTTGATCATGAGTCTAAGGTATGTTAGTGGTGGAGATATTAGAATTTCTACAAGCTTATGGTAGATGTTAATCTAGGTGGATTGAGTGAAATTTTTCCTATTTGAGAGATGAGTGAAACACTTGTACCATATGTGAGCTCTATTATGTTTCTCTTCTTTTATCCTGCTATGTTTCTTGTGTTAATTTCTTTGCACTGAAGTATTCTATGATTGTTGATTAATTAAAAATAAAGGTTGCTTGAGTTAATTGCACATTCATGCTTAGTTAGTTTTATGTTTGCTTGCATTGAGTCTCTCTATTGAATTCTTCTTTAATGAAGTTTTGCCCAGGAGTGCAAAAGGCTAAGTGTGGGGGAGTTGACAAACTCAATTATTTTTATATATTTTGGTATCTTTTATATGGGTTTTGTCAACTTAATTGGTCCCTTTTTGCCTTAATTGATTGTTCTTTGATTTATTTTATTTTATTTTGAATTATTATTTTATAGGGACAAAATTGTCATATTTTGGTTTAATTGTGACTAATTGATTTTTGAGGACAATTAATGCTACCTTAGCAACTAGAATTCCCCCTTAAAGATCCAAGCTCCTGCCATTATTGTTGAATTGGAGAATCATGAATTAGCCACGGTTTGCCATCAAATTCACTGCCACCAGCAATCCACCGAATCCAGCCATGAAGAACAAAAGGAAGAAACTGTAGGAGGAATCAAAGAGACGCAGGCCTGATTTCGCTATCTCGCGCCTCCCCTGTTCTGTTTCGTGTTTGTTGCCCGCCTCTGTTTCGCTGTGGTCGCGCTGAGAAAGGAAGAAGACGAAGTCGCTGATGATGATGGATTTCGGTCAAAGGAAGAAGAGATGGATGGTTTCGCCGTCGACTCCTCTGGTCCTCACTCTCTCGCTCGCGCCTCCCTCTCACGCTGTCGTCTTTCTGCCACCAGGAAGGAGACACGAAGAGAAGAGTCACGGCCTTGCTCTGTTTCGTGTGTGTTCGTGCTTCCGCCGCCAGCCCGCCTCCAGCCCGTTCCACCCGCCGGTTCTCTTCTCTGTTTTTCTTCTTTTACCGCCGCCCCCCAGCTCGTCTTCTGTTGCCTCCATACTTCCGGTCCCCTGTTTGAATTATAGTATATTAGGGGTGGGAGCAAAACGCAGCGTTTTGCTCCCCCTTTTATTATTTTATTATTTTTTTTCTTTTTTTTTTTTTATTTTATTTTATTTTCTAAAAACCTGCAAACAAATTTAAAAATAAGGTAGCATTAATTGTCCTCAAAAATCAATTAGTCACAATTAAACCAAAATATGACAATTTTGCCCCTATAAAATAATAATTCAAAATAAAATAAAATAAATCAAAGAACAATTAATTAAGGCAAAAAGGGACCAATTAAGTTGACAAAACCCATATAAAAGATACCAAAATATATAAAAATAATTGAGTTTGTCAGGCGTGAATGAGAAGAATGAAGCATTGTGGTTGGAGGGTGTGTGTATTTGATTACTTGTGTTTTGACCCTGGAAGCTGGAAGTTAAGTGTTCTAATTAAGTAGACGATAGCGGAGACAATTAAATGATGGTTAAGGCTCATGGTAAACATGTATAAATATATATATGTATGTATATTATCGGATGTATGTGTATATATAGGGCTTGGGGGTACTGTTAGGAAGTGGTTATTGTGGAAGTATGTGTGTGAGACGTGATAATGATCTTGGAAGCTTTAAGGATTTAAGAAAATACCTCTGGTTTGGTTGTTAGATGATCAAGGAAGTCTAAAATATATGTGTGCGTATAAATTGTTGCTCTGTTTTGTTAATGAGGAGTCTAAATGCAAGGTGCTTTAATAGAAAGTTTATAGACTTATAAAAATGTTACATTATATATATGTACATCAAAAAAGAATCTGCAAAGGATGAGAGTTAAGAATAATGCCCCTGTTTAAATGATCACTAAGAGTAAATTACAGGGAATTGAGAATCAAGCGTAAGTATATGGTTCGTTGGAATGTGGATTTCTTTTCTCCTCTGTTTCGGACAGCACTGTATAATTGGGGGAATTGAATTTGATCATATATTTTAAGCTTAAAAATGAATTTAAGGTTGTTTGTTTGATGCTTCAAATGCTTAGTAATTGTTCTAGATGAATCAACTACATTTGGGAAGATCAAGGTGAGGGTTAAATCAAGTTTGAGATAGTTGAATAAATGCGGTGGTTTGATTATGATTTTGGAAGTAAAAAGATAAGAAATGCTATAAGATTGTAATTGAATGAGCATAGAAAACATAGAAGTTTTAGAATTTGTAAAGAAAAGTTGTTTGAGGAATGTTAAAGTTTGAAGGGATTAGGTGAGTGGAGTAGATATTTGAAGTTTGGGATTTTGAGTTTGAGGATGAGATTTATTGTGGTAAACATGTATAAATATATATATATATATATATATGTATGTATATTATCGGATGTATGTGTATATATAGGGCTTGGGGTACTGTTAGGAAATGGTTATTGTGGAAGTATGTGTGTGAGACGTGATAATGATCTTGGAAGCTTTAAGGATGAAAGAAAATACCTCTGGTTTGGTTGTTAGATGATCAAGGAAGTCTAAAATATATGTGTGCGTATAAGTTGCTGCTCTGTTTTGTTAATGAGGAGTCTAAATGCACGATGCTTTAACAGGAAGTTTATAGACTCGTATATAAAAATGTTACATTATAGACATGTATATAAAAAATGAATCTTAGAAGGGTGAGGGTTAAGAATAATGCCCCTGTTTAAATGATCACTATATAGGGAATTGAGAATCAATGGAAAATATATGGTATGTTGGAATGTTAGAGTTTGAGTTTGTGGATTTCTTTTTCCCCCCCGTTTTGGACAGCATTGTATAATCGGGGGATGTTGAATTTGATTATATTTTTTCCGATCAAAAACTTTATTTCTTATCTTAAAAGGGTTTAATCCTTTACCTCTCAACGAACAATTGGAGGAATAATATACATTATCGTAATTTGTATTCAAAAAGAATCAATTCGAAATTGACAAATTGAGGTGAGTCGAGTAGATATTTGAAGTTTGGGATTTTGAGTTTGAGGATGAGATTTATTGAAATTCATGTATAAGGTTTTGATATATTAGATATTTCATTTTGGTGACTGTTTTGGGGGCCAAAGAATTTAAGCTAGGAATTGACTTGAAATTATTGTTTGCGGTTTGCTTGAGGTTTCCAAATGGTGGATGGAAATAGGTGTGCATTAGGAAAATCCTTAATGGCACAGTCAACGATTAAGGTATGGGATAAAATTGATAATTGATAGAATTTGTTTAGAAAGGTTGTTCGAGGAATGTTAGACCAAAGTTTAAGAAAATTAATAGATAATTAGGAATTGAAATTGCTTGGCTTGGAAATGAGATAAAATCAATTGGTGCGATTATATATATAATGGTTTGTGTGTCTCGGCCATGCATGCAAAATAGGTGAAGTTGGACTTTAATTAATTTTATTTCATTGGGATTGGATGATTGAGGCATGAAGGGCACCTTGTTGTCCTTAAATGTAATATATATAAATAACATATTTGATCAAGATGACTGGTGACTAAGGAAGGAGGACATTTCAAAATGTATATTATGAGTAAGAGCTATTGTTCAGGATGACCAACTATTAAATAAAAGGAATATAGTTCATCAATGGGTCAAGAGAAGTTATATCTTGATAATAAAGGTTTAATGGACTAAGCATTGACCCATTTATATATGAAACTATATTATAAGATTTGATATTATGCAAACTTTAATATATATATATAATATTCTTTTACATAAACAATTATATATATACATATAAATTATTAAAAACCAAAAATAAACTAGACGATAATTTTAATCATAACTATTTTTATGACAAAGTAACTTTTAAATATTTTTTTACTATTTATTTTATATTATTTTATTTTAAAAAATATTTTAATATAATATTAATTTGGAAAAATTGCAAATAAAGATACCCTAATATGTGAAATTGTGATTTGGGACCTTTAATTTGAAAAATTACAAATAAAGACCTAATCTCATATTGTAAATATGAAATCTTGGTGAAATGTTTGAAACGCCCCTGAACCAAATTATAATTTGGTCTACTGAAATTGTCATTCACTAAAGTGAACTTGTCATTCGCTAAAGTGAACTTGTCATTCGCTAAAGTGAACTTATCATTTCCCATAGTCAACTTGTTATTTGGCATACTCTCAGTCAAGTTGTGATTTGGTCTACCGAAATTGTCATTCACTGAAGTAAACTTATCATTTCTCATAATCAACTTGTCATTTGGCTAAGGGATATTTCATATATTTCACCCATATTTCATATTTGCAATTTGAGACCGGGTCCTCTGAAACTATTTTTCAAATTTAGGGCTTGAAATCATAATTTCACATATCAAGGGGTCTTTATTTGTAATTTTTCCTATTAATTTCCAATGACACTAATTTTTAGTTTTAAATTGCAAATCATTTTTTCATAAATATATTTTTTAAATATAAGTCATGGGCCTACTTTTTGAAAAGATAGATTCATTTTCCCCAATATAACCCATGAAAAATAGAATTTTCAACTTTCACCGAAAAAGGGGCTTCAATTCAATATACACATCCAGGTCATCAAAAAAAAAAAAAATCACAACAAAAAAGTTCGAAAATTGAAAGCAAGAGTGCAATTGACGCGGCATAGTGATGACTTTTTGAATGAATAAGGCTAACCCTATGTTTGGTACGAGAAAATCAGAAGAGAGAATAAATTTTAATGAGCTTGATTAGAAAAATTGAGGAAATGAGATTCTAAAATTTTGATAAAGAGGATATGTAAGATAAAAGGAGGAAAATTTAATAAAATTTTTTAACTCCACTTCTTTGATTTCTTTTAAATCAAACTCATTAAAATTTTCTCTTCCCTTTCGTTTCCTTTATTTTCTTCTCACCAAATAGGCTCTAAAGGAAACATTGCAAAGAGGGAGGATGTTGTTTCAGCCTTTATCAGGACTTGCACAAGAGTTAAAGAGGATAATGCTAACGCTATAAGAAAAAATGATTTCACAAAAAATGTTTCAGATTTGATGATGATGATTTTTGGAATGAAGATGATGATTTGCAAACGGGGATGACTTCAAGCTGGGGTAGATCGAAAGAACAAGAAGATTAGGCAAGGCTAGCATCCAAGTATTATTATTAGTAGAATCACAAAAATGTCCCTTAGAGCCATTATGAATTTTAATCAAGAATAAATTGATAAATTAATAAAAATAACATGTCATCTCCTAAATAATTGTTTCATAATCTGATGAGGTGGTTCTGGATCCTCTCATAATCCTTCTTTCTTATTTTTTTCTCAAAATCTCATCTTCATGGTTGGAGTAAATAATAAATAGTTCAGATTTAATATTTTAAAAAATAGATGTCCACCTTTTCTCTATTATTTATGCAATGTTATAATAATAGTTTTATAAAATATAAAATCTGAATCATTAATTATTTGATTCAAAGGTGGAGATCAGATTCTGAGAAAAAAAAGAGAAAAAAAGATTATGAGAGGATACAAACCCGCGATATGGTTTATCTTACCAACTGGGAGATGAAGGCTCATTTTAGGTAAAGTGAGACGAAACTCAATTCATATTTTTATCTCATATTTTATAAATCACAATTATTTTGCCTTTAATATATGGGGGGGCGGGTGGCTTCCACACCGAGATCAGATAGGACAAAAACTTACCAACTCTAGAATGGACTGTGTCCGACGCGTTCTCGGAGGATGGAAGCAAGGATTGGTCGAAGGCTGGTGACTTACTTCCCAGCAAGATCAGATATGAAATACGTAGAGTTGGATCGCAGAGTCTCTTTTGGTACTTTTCTCATGTAGTATACGTCAAAAAATTAATCTCTGTTTTCTAAAAATAATTAATGTGTGAAATAAAATATAATTATCCAGTATGAAAATGATCTCTTTATTTCTTTGGACTGCTGAATCTTGCAATTTCTGCCTTAATATAGACTTTGGTTTGAGAAACTTGGGCACAAAGGAAGAGAGACAGAGACTAGCATTTATTGGGAAACATGACGAAGTTGTGGCTGAAATGGCTTTCGTAGTCTGATTTATTATTACAGTAAAAATGCCTGACAAATTGAAGGAACTTTACTTAACTTGGTAAAAATAATGTAAAAAAATTCAACTAGAAATTTTTTTCAAACCAAAAAAAGTAGTTGTGTGAAATTCTTTCAACTAGAAATACTGCCATAAGTTTCATCTGATACGTAATTCCAGGCTAAATCAAGCTATTGTTTTTTTTAAAAAAAACTATTATTCAATATTTAGTGCTTTTTTTGGGATTCTAGCAATCTACTGATCCAATTCGGGGTTTGTGACTACTCATACTCAAAACCGAAAGAAATCTAGTATTACTGCTAGACCAACTCTCTATTACTGGGTTGGTAGCTAAATCAAGCTCTGATAAGCAAACCAGTTCAAGATCTATTATACAAAGAAAAACAAACTACAATCATCATCCTAATAAAGTATTAAACTTTTTCTAATTTTAGAGTCACTTTAGTTTGTTAAAGCCCTCAAATCGAGACTTTAAAAAATATTTTCTATGTCCCAATTGCAGAGAACATTTGCAAGTAAAAAATTCTTGCAAAGTGGAAGACAGCAACGCGGTTTGAGTCCCAATATGAAAAGAACATTTGGAGAAGCTTGTTATATTAAAGAGAAGACTTGAGCGGACTCCAAAAGCTTCATCCTCAAAAATACAAATCTGTGCACAACTGGGTTTCGTCTTCCTCCGATCAGGTCGCCGATCAAAGAAATCTTTCACTTATTTCATCCATCAGGTTCCTGTTTTCTTCCTTTCTAATTTTGTTATATGTCTCTGTCAAGGCTACCAGTGTCAGTTTAAGATTAGTTTCTATTATTTTGGTTTTTTTCCGTGAAATGGATTTAGCCTTTCAAGCATTAATTTTGTGATTATGCTTTCTTTGAATACAAAACTTTTGCTTTGTAAGAAATATAAATATAGTTAGGCACTGGGTGTCAGCTCCCCCGGCAGCACTTCAGCTACGCCTTAATTTTGGGGTCCTTTCCAAATGTTTCTTTTTAGTTTTTTTTATTAGGTTCTATGTAAAATGAGTGATATTTTGACATCTTATAGGCAAAAATTATTCATTTTTCAAATTTCAATTTTATCCGATTTTTCAAATATTGAAAGCAATTGGAAAGGCCCCCCAAAATTAAGGGACAGATGGGGACGCAGCTGAGCGGGTCAACCCCTAGCTCGTTAGTTATCAATTCAATTAACCTGGGATCTATTTTCTTCCTTGACAATTCTTTTAGACTATCTTTGGAATTTTCATGAACTTGTGAATCTGCGAGTTAGATTTATGTTCTGCCTCAAAGTTTTGCCAGATTCATAGCAGGCTGGATCAAATCACGCCTCTCATATATTTAGCCTGATCAAATCATCATAAATTGGTGCAATTTCTTCCGTCTTCAGTATCCCCCTCACTGATTGCTGCACTGTTTCTTGAAGCTCCTACTATATATGTATTATTCTTTCTGTTTTTGTGTTTTTACTTTTGTACTTGGGTTCAGATTCCTAATCCTTGCGTTGCAATGGCGCATGATGCTGACGGAGTTGGGTGCTCTTCAAGTTCTTCTGGTTCAACTAAGAGAAGGAAGTATCATGTGTTTTTGAGTTTTCGAGGGGAAGATACTCGGAAAAATTTTACTGATCATTTGTATGCTGCTTTAAAACGCAAAGGATTAAAAACTTTCAGGGATGAAGAAGAACTTGAAAGGGGAGAATCTATTAATCCAAGTTTAGTACAAGCAATTGAAGAGTCTCGTTCTGCAATTGTTGTGCTCTCCCCAAATTATGCTTCTTCAACTTGGTGTTTGGATGAGCTTCAAAAGATTCTGCAGTTAAAGGAAAAGACAAGTCTTCAAGTATTTCCCATATTTTACGGTGTAGATCCTTCTGATGTTAGGAAACAAAAAGGAAGTTTTGCAGAAGCATTCATAAAGCATGAAGAAAGATTTGCCGAAAACAAAATAAAGGTGCAAAAGTGGAGAGATGCTTTAGAAAAAGTGGCTACTTTATCTGGTTGGGACTCAAAAGATCGGTAATTTCCACTTCTCTCGATAATTATCATCTCTCTTTTTTTTTGTTGGGAAATAAGGGCGTAGATATTCAAATATACTCTAATCCCTTCCCTCCCTAAAATGGGTAGGGGGTGGACTGCTTGAAGCTTTAACTAACAAGTATTATAAATATTATTTACTTAAAACTAGAATATTTTAATCCATTTTATCTTAATTACATTTACTTATTATCTATTTTGAAAACATATACTTAAATTTAAATGGTTAATTTTGCTGAGAGTATTTTAAAAAGATATTTTTAATTAAAAATTTGTACTAGAATAATATTTATTTACTAATTTATCCTTCATCATACTAAATTCCTAATTTTGGATAAAATTCTCTTGCAAATAAATATTTTACTAATGTTTTTATCATATTGGAATAAAAGCTTAAGTAATGTAATTATTATAGATATAAAAAGCTTTATTAAGAATTTCAGTAATTCCTTTAATAAAGATACAGTTCACTAAGTGTCTTTATAAGTTCACTCCAAAAAATGTGTTTATAAAGTTTATTACAAAAATAGTTTAAAAATTTTAAATTTTAAATTTAAGTTATTAATATAATCTCTTAAACTCATATTATTTATTATATGTATTATGAATAAAATAAGCTTTTCAAATATGATCTTAGACATTTAAAAGAAATATAAATAAATATATATCAATACATGCAATGAAAAAAAATAAAATTATACAATTTCATTATATAATCAAAATTAATAATTAATTAATATGATAACATATTAGAATGTTTGAAAACTTATGCAGTAGAATTATTTCCTATTATAAAAAATTATGCTTTTCACAAATATAAATATTTAAATAATTTTATGCTAAATAAAGGTATTTTGGTCAAAGCAAAAGCTTAAAAGTTAAATTTAACAATCAACTAAATTAGATAGATGAAAATAAAATCTCAAATATATAAGAGAGGGCTTGCAATTTGAATGGAAGCTTGGGTATGTTTTTAAAACATATGCGATGTTTCTGATAAAACAGAAGGGGTGATTAGTAATTGGAAAAACTAACGTAGTACTAGTTTTTATAATTTTATCTGATTTTGAGTTAGGTCCTGTAGTTTTTTTTTTAATGAAATTTTTATAATTTATCACATTAAATGAGCAAGTCTTTCCGTAAAAAATACTCTCAATGATATTAATGCTACGTGACACGGCATTAAAAAGGCTTGCTTTCTCTTTCTTTCCGACGCCGGTAATGAACTTTTTCTTTCTTCCACGTAAAAGCTTGTGGCTCTCTCTCTCTCTCAAAAATTAATCAAGGGCCGACCACACTAGTTGATAAGGAGAAGAATATTGGGATTCGGCATTCCGGAGTGATAATGGCCATCGGAGCTTCTTTTTCGGCTGTGGCGACGGGGTTTGCCCCATTCTTTGTTGCTTCTATCAGAAATGCTTCTATCGGTGTGACAACATTCGAAGTCAGCTCATTGAAGAAGTTGAAAACATCTCCATATTTGACGTTCTACTGCTCGGCTTCATATCTACGTGGTTAAAATGCCTTTAATATCATTGAGGTGTATGAATTTGTTTACATATATATCCCCCAACGGCATAGAAGCAGTGCGTTGATGCTAATGGAGAGGTGAATACAATTTAAGCCTTTCTTATCCTTCTCGGCATGAGACTGGCGTGGTTGGCCCTCGAGGGAGAAGAGAGAGTGAGAGCCGCAAGCTTTCACTAGGAAGAAGAGAATGCAAGTCATGCAGCCTTTTCAATGCCATGTCACCACAGCATTAACCGCGTTGGGAGTATTTTTAACAGAACGACTTGCTCATTTAATGTAATAAATTACTCCCCTGTTCGTATTTATAAGATAAGAGAGAAGATATTTTTTAGTTCTATTTATTGAGTACTACGAGAAATATTTTGTATAGATATTTAATTTTACCCTTCATGTATAATATATATTAAATATGGATAAATTTGAAAAATTATTAAATTTTAAATGAGATTTAGGGTGTGTTTGGATGACTTCAAACCGTGGTTTGGAAAAGTGATTCTGGAGAATAGATTCTGTAGAGAATAGATTCTGTGGAAAATAGATTCTGAGAAAAAGTGATTCTGAGAAGTGAGAGTGTTTGGATAGTTATTACCAGAAGTGCTTTTTACATGTGGAAATGACCAAAAAGGATATAAGTTAATATGATAATTATATAAGGGATATATTTTATGATTTATTTTGATTTGAAGAAATAAAATTGTTAATGAAATAATTTTTACTAACATAATTAATAATATATAAGATAATATAATTAATACATAATTAATATGTGTACATATATTTATAAAACATAATATTAAATATGTTTATAGAAAAATGATTTTTTTTAGAACAGAAAAATATTAATTTTGTTTAAAGATTGTAAACGTGAAATCCCATAACATTTTTTCATAACTACTTTTTGTAATAACATATTACATGTATAATAACCTCTGATGTTTAATACAATTAATTAATTAATTGTCACCACACATATATATTCATAAAATATAAGAGTGAAAAATATTCTTAGAGAAGAAGAATTATTTTGTTGCAAACAGAAAGTCATGTATTTTTCATGAAGATTATAAACATAACATGGGATGATATTGTTTGATAAAATAGAATAAACATGTCTTAAAATAATTTATTAATTATTCAAGTTATTTGTAATAAATATGTGTTGAATTTTCTAATTATAAGAACAAGTTGATTAATTTAAGAAAATTAAGAAAATAAGTCATATTAGTTATTTGTAATAAATATGTGTTGAATTTTCTAAAATATCATTACTAATCAAGTATATTGGTTAGAATTACTATTAGTAGAAGGGTTATTTTGAAAAAAAAATAGATAAATATTATAAACAAAATGAATTAGGATCTTATATTTAAAACTAAAATTAAAATTAAATAAGGTCTTATTTTAAGAATCGGAGACCAAATAAAAAACTCAAATTATTCCAAATCAATTTGAATAAAATAGGAAACTATATTAAATGTTTAATCTGCGCTACTCCAAAACAACTCCAACCATACTCAAAATTACATGTAATTTTGTAATTTTTTGACCGGAACATGTAATTTTGTAATTGCACTGGCAATTTTGACTGACTGTAATATCAACAACAAATTTAGTATCTACTTCTCGATTTTAAATATAATATTCATTTTATAATCCAATTTACATCATAAAATAAATCTTATATCTAAAAACTAACGAATATAATCTATGGGTGATTTGCATATCTTAACACACAAGCTTGAAAAGCTCATGTCATATGGCCTATGGTGCAAGATTCAAATTATTATTTTATGATTTTTTGCCAACATTTTATAAAAAAATTAAATATAGTCTAATAAATTGAAACTGTTTTTTATTGATGAAATAAAAGTAGCAGCAGGGTTGTTTAGATCGTTGTAGTTTTGTAGGAATACTGAAAAAAGGAGGATTAACAAAAAAATCCCCCGGCTCCCCCTGTATATATGTGGCCAGACATTGATGAGAATTAACGAGAAAAAGAATAGAACTGGAACTGGAAAGCGGAGTGATCTGGGCGCGTTGTCCTTTCTTTCCACTGTTTCGCAGGCGAACCAGGAGCAGAATCCGGTTCCGGCATCTCAGTCGACTGGGCCATGGACGGGCAGCGTTCCAGATCCGATGACCCATTCCTTCTCAATTACCAGCCTTCCGAGCTCCGAATCGCCTCCGAGTTCTTCGCAACATGGCTTCCCTTTCTCTCCAAAGATCTCTGCGGTCACTGTTCTGCAATTCTTTCTGATCGCATCCGTTCCATTGACTCCGGTAAACTGCTTTACTTTTCTTTTTTTTTTGGTTTTTTATCGGCTCTTGGTCCCTTCTCGTGGCGTTGTTTATTATTGGTATGACCGTTGCCCTTCACGAGAACGCGAAGACGCGAAGACGCGAGCCGGCGAACAGGCAACCCGATGGATGAGACGGTCGAAGAGTCGAGCTGGGTGAGATTCGCGAATGGAAAACAATTATCAGAGAAATCGGAGTCGGCCAGCGAGAGAAGGATGACTGTGTGTGTGGGTATTATTGGTATGACCGTTGCCCCCCTTCCCGAATGGTTCCCAATTATCCAGAGAAGTGACTTTTTTTTGATTTTCGTAGAACCATGGTTTCACCGGTTGAAACCATGGTTTCAGCTGGACCACGGTTTGGGCTTCTGGACAGGGTGTTTGGATAGCATTTTATCCAAACCATGGTTTGGGCTTCCAAACCATGGTTTGGAGGTGCATCCAAACGCAGCCTTAACGAAGTTTAATGTTTTTTTTTGTCTGTGTGAAACATGCTGGAAGTACCTTATAAATAGGATCAGAGGAGTATAAAAATTCCATAAAAAGGTTAAAAAAACTAGAAGGACCAGATTCAAAATCATATAAAACTATAACCACTGCTAGATTTTTTTTCCCCTTAGTATTTCACTCTTTTTTGTCCATTATAGACTTGTATTTTTAGTTGTTGGTAAAGTAGACTTGTAGCACTAGGTTGCACATGATCTAGGTTTTCCAATCGAATTCAATTAATGATATAGTTCTGAAATGGTCATTTTCTTGAATATATATTGGTAAAATTACATAATAATTATTATTATGTAATTCAATAATTAATAATTTATAATTTCTCTAAATAATTAATAGTTGTTATTATTTTTTGATAGTTGAAGACGCTACCGTGTAGCATTAGATTTGAACTCTTGTGAAATGTTGCTTAAATAAAATTAAGAAAAACTATTCAAATAATAAAATGTATTGCCAAAAAAAAAAAAGGAAACTCAACCTATAATGTATTAATTAAGTAACTTCAATATCTAGGAGTTATAGTAAAGTGTGTGGACACACACAACATAATCGTGTATATCTGCAAATAGTTATTTCCTATCCCCACTAAGTCAAACTAAGGTTCACGGAAAACTTATGATTGCTACATTTGTGGTCATGTTTTTCTTTACATCTCACATTAAGTATTTTTTATTGTTTATGCAAGAGCTTTAAAATTCAATTGACTAAAAACCATCACGCTATTTTCATGTTAAAAAAATCATTTTATAATTTTATTTTCATATGCAGGTATGAAAGCGAATTCATTGAAAGCATTGTTGAAGAAATGGGGTCAAAGTTACTTGATAAATCAGCATCTGGTCATGGCAAGTTAATTGGAATTGGACCAAAATTAGACAAACTGAAGTCAATCGTTGCAAGTGAATCAGAAGGAGTTGGGTTTATAGGAATATGGGGCACAGGAGGTGTAGGCAAAACAACTCTTGCTAGAGCCTTTTATGAGCAGGAGCGAGAGCGCAAAAACTTTGAGATTCACTGCTTCCTTGATAATATTAGAGAGGCATGGGAAAAAGAAGATTTGATTTCATTGCCAAGAAAACTCCTTTCTTCTCTAGATAAAAAGAGTATGGAAGTGGCTGACTTTTATGAAGGAATGGAGTTAATAAAAAGCAAGTTGACTGACAGAAAAATTCTACTTGTCCTTGACGATGTGAGTGATATTAGGCAACTTGAAAATTTGGCTCCAAAGAAAGGATGGTTCAGCGAAGGGAGCATAATAATAATAACAACTAGGGATAAGCATTTGTTATCATCGCACAGTGTATCTGCTGTGTATGAATTCAAATTATTGAGTTATAACGAGTCCCTTGAACTTTTCCTTGAAAAAGCTTTTAAAGAAGAGCATCCTAATGAAGATTATTTGAAACTTGCTAGAACCGTCATTGAGTATGCTAGAGGCCTTCCTTTAGTGCTCACAGTGTTAGGTTCATCTCTTTGCAAAAGACCTATAGTGGAATGGAAGGATGAACTAGCTAAGCTCAAGAAAATTCCTCCAAAGGACATTTTGAAGATACTTCAGGTGAGTTTTGATGGACTGGATGATCAGCAGAAAACCATATTCCTGGATGTTGCTTGCTTTTTCAATGGGATGGACAAAGATCATGTCATACAAATTTTAGAAACTTTGGATAAGGATTTTCGCCCAGAAACTGAGATAAATGTTCTCATTAAGAAATCACTAATGATTAGTTATGAAGGGCATTTGTGGGTGCATCAAATTCTCCAAGATATGTGTAAATATATTGTCTATCAAGAATCACATTATGATGCTGGCAAGCGTTCCAGGATATTGTCTTTGGAGGATGCCAATCAAGTACTAAAAGGAAATAAGGTGACATTATTCCAACGTTCTTGTGTTTATGTGCTTTTTAATATCAATATATTCCATAACTTTCACAAACATTTTGACCTTGGCTTGTTGTTTTATAGGGGACAGAAGCAATTCGAGGAATAGCGCTAACATTGGAAAAGTCATGTGATGCATTCTGGGATCCTGAATCCTTCTCAAAGATGAGTAATCTTAGGTTACTTATGATTTCAAGTCGCTCACATGTTTCACATTGTCAATTAAATCTTCCGCATGGGCTCAAGTCCCTTTCCAGCGACTTGAGAGTCATAGAATGGGTGAGGTATCCATTATTTTATTTGCCCAATCAGCCTCAACTCTATGAGCTTGTAGTACTAAAAATGCAGCACAGCAAATTAAAAAAACTTTGGAGAGGAACACAGGTAATTATGATCCTTTCATTTAAATTCTTTCTCCATAATTTAATAAATTATAATTATAATTAATGTTTAGTTTTGAGGGCTTACTGTTTTCAATTTTTCTATTGTTAGTCTCTCCCAAGCCTAAAGTCCCTCGATCTATCTCATTCAAAATGCCTCGTCAAAGTCCCAAATTTTGATGGAATTCCTCATCTTGAAAAGTTGATTCTTGAAGGGTGTTCTAACTTGGTTGAATTCCCCACTCTCTTGGGCAACACAAGAAACTTGTCATTGTTGACTTGAAAGATTGCAAAGAAGTTAAAACGCTTCCAGAAAAATTTGAGATGAATAGCTTGGAGACTTTTATTCTATCAGGTTGTTCAAAAGTTAGAAAACTTCCTGAGTTTGGAAAAGATATGGCATGTCTATCGAAGCTTGATTTAGAGAAGACTGCTCTAGCCAAACTACCTCAATCGTTGGGTAATTTGATTGGTCTCGTTGAATTAAATTTGACAAACTGCAAAAAGCTGGTTTGTCTTCCATGTAGTGTTAGCAAGTTGAAAGCTCTGAAAGTTATCAAAATTTCTGAATGCTCAAAGCTTTCATGGCTGCCAGAGAGTTTGAATGAAAATGAAGCTTTGGAACAGCTTCATTTGAGTGGGATTGCTATACAAGGGTTATCATTTAGTGACTACAATAGCGAAACACAATCTTCATCATCATGGAGTTGCTTATCCCTTCTTCAAAGGCCTTCAAGCTCCAAAAAGTTTTTGTTGCCGCCGTCTTTGTCGTTCTTGAAAGAATTAAACTTACGTTTTTGCAATCTCCAAGATGGATCACTTCCTGATGACATCAGCATGTTATCATCCTTGGAATTTTTAGATCTAACTGGAAACGATTTCATTGACTTACCATCTGGCCTCATTTCCAGTCTTTCGAAGCTTAAAGGTATTTGTCTCTGGAGTTGCTCAAGGCTTCGGTCTTTGCCGCAACTTCCGTCAAATCTATTTCATATACAGGCTGATGGTTGTTCATCACTAAAACATTACGGATGTGCAGATCAATTATGGGATTTCATTGAATCATTTCAACCTCAGGTTTATTTTATTTGTCTTTAATTGTTCTTTCACCTCTATCATTTTACTTCTTTAACACGCAAAATTGTTTCTTATAGGTTCACAACATTTAAATATGAAGTCAGCAATTATAAGAGGGGATTCAGAAATTGTGAGTTTTTAGAATCACCTGTTTTTTTCTTAATTTCTTTGACAATAAATATATAGTTTATTTTACTTGTACGTATATATTGCCATTTCTTACGTGTTAATCAACATACTTCTGATACAAACAATCTGTTTTTTTGGTCCCAGTTTTTTTCCCTCCGTCTACTTTGGCACTCATTAGCAATTACTGGTAGCAGAGTACCATCATGGTTTTATAATCAAAACTACTTTTGCGAGAAAGAATTCTGGTGGTGTCCAAATAATGTGTCGTTCATAATAAATATATCCCCTGATTATTGTGGTTCACGTGAATGGTGGGGCATAGCCATATGCTTAGTCATAGAACGCGATCTCGCATTTGGAAAGGGGTGGGATGGAATTTGTTGGAGTTGCAGATTTCCTAATGATGAATTTCCAAACTCGCATTGTTGGCATAGTCTTTATCTACATCCGGCTAAGAGTCCTCTGCTTTATATAATATATATTCCTTATTCCTCTTTGGTTGTCAATGGACTTCAAATGGTATGTTTCTCTAAGAATGCAACGCAAAACAAGTCACCAAGGATTAAAATAAGCAAGTGTGGGTGGCGAGCGGTGTGTAAAGAAGATGTTAAAGCATGGCGAAGGACAGGGGACGAAGGTTGTAGTATCATCAATAACTACGTGAAGTTTAATCCAGACATCAACAGTAGAGGTTATAGGCCCTGATGGAGACGTTATCATATTATTGTAGAAGTGGATGGCACCTATTCTCATTCAGATGACAAAGCAGCTTGTGGAGGTGTTCTTAAAGATGGCAACAATTGTATGAAGGAGGCTTTTCTTCTGAAATTAAGTGGCGGAGACACCCTCATAGCAAAACTATGGGGTTGCTTGATGGGTCTCAAAAGAGCTTGGGACACTGGTATTAGAGTTGTTGTCTTGAGAAGCGACTCCGCTGAAGCTGTTCGATTGATCAAATTTGAAGTCCCACAGACGCACAAGAATATTGGTCTGATCATGGAAATCAAAGGGATGTTAGAGCGGAAATGGTTTGCGGATATCCGGGTCTTTCACAGAGACGGCAATGGCATCGCTGATTTACTTTCCAAAAGAGCACTTAATGGAGCAATGGGTCTGCAAATACTGGGCCGTAAGACAATGATGAAAATATTACAGGCCACTGATGTTATACAGCCTGAAGTTGAGAAAGACGGAGGTTATACTCAATGCTCCAGACATCATGATCAGTTTGTTGTTGAAGAAGATGAGTCCATACTCCCAAGGTATGTAGATCAACCCTTCAGGTTTTAGATCAAAATTTATATTTTATATTAATGCATGCTTGATGGATATTTAAAGTTTTGGTTGATACATTAATTTAAAATAATCTTTCAATTCTTATAAATATTATATCCTGTTAATTACTTCCTTTCCATAGGGGCTGTTCGTTTTATATTATTGGCCGGCTTTGTTTTCATTTCTTAAAAAATTGTTCCTATTTTTTGTATTTTACTTGTATGACACGTACATGGTTTCAACGTTCCATCAAAAGTCAAACTAGATCTTATGCATTCCCTTAATTTTTCATTCTCATTTCATAAGTTGAAGAAGATTTTACGTAGTCATTTGTACGTGGTAAGGACCACGGAAAAGGGTTTAGGAGGAAATATTAATAATAGATGTACGACCCAATAGCCATAGGTCAACTATATATTAGGCATGTTCAATGTTCTTGTTTTGATGTAACTGAACCAACTTGAAATATCATTTTACAATATATATATATATATATATATTATAATTCAGTACTGTTTAAATTAAGCAATTATGAGTGGCACGTTTTCTGCAGATCAAAAGTTAAAAGATGGCAAAAATCAAAAGATAAATCTAATATTGATTTAGAAGGCTGTAGCCATTGGGAGTGGATGTAACTTTTGGCATTCCCCTGAGCGTCTATTTCAGAATTGGTGTGAACGTATGTTTTAGATTTTTTTACATCAAGGTGCATGTATCCATCGATACTAGTTAAAAAATTGTCATAGAAAGCCCTTTTTTGGTCATTGTAAAAAGTTTGTTTTTGCATCAGTATCATCAGCTCTAGGCACATATTTTCGAATCATTTTACAAAATTAAAGCAAGTAGATTTCCAAGACTCTTCCAAAATCTCTCCAGTTTCGATTAAATTTGTTACTATTAGGCTTATTGGAATATAAAATAACTTGGGATAGACAACATGTATGCTTCATAATTTTTACTTGGCTGAAAAATTGATCTTCCCTTGAGTTCATTTATAGGTTTTGTGTATACAAGTTGGCGAAATCTCATCTTAGAGGCATTCAAGAAGCAAGAGCTAGATACAAGGAGCAATTCTTCAAAAACCATCTCCTTGCTGAAGGACGGATGTAAAATCAATGAGGCCCATACAGATATAGCAAATAGGTATGTGGAAGTCTTGCATATTTCTACTTACACTTCATTCGTTTAGGCTTTTCACTTTTGTTATGTTCTTTTTATGCTGTTTTGTTTTCCTCATGCATCCAAAACCCGGGGGGGGGGGGGGGACAAAATTGGTGCATATATAAGCTTCTCATTATGGCTTAATATATCTATAAGATTAGTACAGTTTGTACAGGAATTTCTCCACAGCCCTACGCCCTCTTGCACCGTTCCCTTCCCTCTTAAAAACCCCAACCAAACAAAAGGTTACGAGAGGATGTATTTCAAACTCTTTATCTGCAGAAATTGGACCAAAATCATTTAAGACGAATTGCCTCGGGGGATATCCTTGGGCTTTTTTTTTCTTGGGACAATTATAGCGAGATTCTTTTTTAACGAGTCTCATAAATTGTCATTTTCTATCTTAAAACTTGTCATTACAAACTGTTTAGGTTGTTATTAGAACTTTTTGGTAATTATTTTTCTTTCCTAGGACCTCATTATAATTGTCCCTTGTTTCCCCTCACTGGCAACAGAAGGATCAAAGGTTGTCGTCGTTGATTCAATCACAAATAGAGGGTTTCCTTCATCTAGAGTATAATCTGTGAGTTTATACTCCGGTCACTCAGTGATCATTTACTCTTTTTAATAGTTGAGTAGTAGGTAATTATATCATGTTGTGTAAGGGGGAGTTTGCATTTAGGCAGAATAAATATCATTGATTCTACGCGTTATGAAATATAAAAGATTTTGTTCCACGTCTCTTTTGGTATTTTCCTCACGGATTTCACGTCAAAAAAATTATCTTACTTTTCTAAAAATATCAAGCTAAGAAAAATATTGCTGGCCAGAAAAATGTTATTATCCAAGGTAATCATCATTTCTTTTTTTCTCTTGAGATGGCTCTCATAGTCTGATTTATTACGGTAAAAATGCCTGACAGATGGAAAGGCGTGTTTCGAGTCCTGAAACATTGTAGGAAACTTCCTTAACTTGGTAAAAATAGCATAAAAACTTTCAACTAGAAATTCTTTTAAAGAACAAAAAGTTGTCAATTACTAGCTTTTTGTAAATTATAAATTGTACTTTATGATCAAAATATGATTTTTACTCTTATAAAAGTTTTCTTGGCTCATTATTATACTTAGCTAAAAATATTACAGTTTTCAAAGTTATAATTTTAAAATAAATTTTGTATTCTTTGAGTCTTTTATTGTAACTTTCACCAAATTTTGATGCTTAGTAGAGAGGTTTCAAATAGTAATAATGATTGTGTCCATTTGTCTTCAAAACCACGGCTATATCAAGCTGCCACATATCCTCCATCTCATGACATATACATATCCATCTATAAAATGCTCTCATAAGTTTATACATTTGTGTTTTCACTTCATACTTTCAACTATTAAAATATTGGACAAAAATTCAGAATTTAATTTTTATTTTTTATTAAACAAACCCTTTCAAAAGAGATAAAATTCGCGAATAAGAAACAAAATTCATCAAGAATCCTTTTTTCATTTTTGTATGGAACATACACATCAATTTTCATAGATCATACTCTTCATTCCACTTCCAGTTCCTCTGTTAATAGGAGTGTGACTTCTCTTTTGTCTCGCAGTAACAAAAAATATCCACCGTATGTAGACTTTTATATTATTTTTTTTTTTAATTTCCATTGATTTGTGCCGGAAGTTATAAGCTGAAAATTTTACCTCATTTTATATGTTTTACCACATCATATATTAAGTTAATACTGTTTAAAATAAGCAAGTGTGAGTGGCGTGTGTTGTGCAGAAATGTTGAAAGATGGCAAAAATCCAGAGTAAGTTGATACTTGATTCAGATAACTTGAACAACCCCTGAGAATAAAGACGACGTGCCCATTGGGAGTGGACGCCAAACTTTTGGCATTCCCCCGAGCATCTGTTCCAGACGTGATGCTAAGGTATATTTCAGATTTTTTACGTCGACCTTTATCTATCATAGTTATAAAACCGTTATAGAAAGCATTTTATCGTCGCTGTAAAAAGGTTTCATTTTGCACTAGTGTCAGTTCTTAGCACACGTTTTGTTTCTTTTAGTAAGAATTTCTTGTTACTTAACAGATGAATGTCACCCTCCCCACAAAAGGGGTGATTTGTATTTTTCTTCCCCAAAATTTTTTAATTTTCTACCAAATAAGAATGCATCGTACTAGTGACATTTATGTCTTGAGTCATAATGTGAAGAGTAATGTTGATCAAGTTTTATGCATTTGACAAACTCAAGAAATTAGCTCTATATGATGAAACATCATAATGATACTACTGCTTCTTGATAGCTTTTTGCCCTCATCCAATCATGCTTCGATTGCAAAGTCAGTATTGTGCTTCAAAGGAAATCCATCAAAATATTTTACACTGCTTCAATATGAATGCTTAAAATCTCTCAAGTTTACAAAATCAAAGCAAGAAATAGACTTCCGTAACCCTTATTTTTGCACATGCTTACATAACTCCATACACAAGTTGATAATATAGATGACTGATTTCTGCATAATTTTTACTTGGCTAAAAAAAATTGATTTTTCTTTGACTTCATCTATAGGTTTTGTGTATACAAGCTGAGGAAATCTCATCTTAGAGGCACTCAAGACGCAAGAGCCAGATACAAGAGCAATTCTGCAATGAGGCCCATGCAGATATAGCAAATCAGTATTTGGAAGTCTTGCATATTTCTATGGACAATTCGTTAGTTTAGGCTTTTCACTTGTGTTTTTTATGTTTTGTTTTCCCCATGCATCCAAAAAGGGGGGAAAACCAAAATTGGTACCTATAAGCTTTTCATTATGGCTTAATATATCTATAGAACTAGTATGACACAATCTGTACAAGAATTCCTCGATAGCTCTCCCCCTCTTGCACCCTTTCCTCCCCTCTAAAAAACCCCAACCAAACAAAGGTTTAGGAGAGGATGTATCTCAATCTCTTATCTGCAGAAATTGGGCCAAAATCACTTAAGATGATTTGCATGAGGGGAAAAAATACCCTTTTTCAGCCTCATTTGCACTAGGATCTGGGGCTATTGTAGTCATAACCTTTACTTCAATCACAAATAGAGGACTTCCTTTATCTAGAGTTGCGTCCCTGAGACTCTCAACTAAAGCTCGAACGAGGCCCTTTCTGTGTCCCTTTCTTTTGAGACGCAGCAATTCAACTTAGATTAGGGCTTTTATTCTTCAATCAGTTAGAGGTAGGTTGACACCTTGATGCACTAAGAGCACTCACTTTTGCAGTAAAAGATAGGCATGTAACAAATATTGCATTTAAGATCAAAGAACAGCATAATCAGAGGATGGGGAAGCCAAAATTGTGAGGAAAACAAGAGATCAAATAGAAGAGGTGAAAATAAAACAGCAAGTTAAATCAGCTGCTGATGAATTCACCTCTCGCATCCCAAGGGCGATTTTCATAAGATTTTCCGACAATGCTGTGTGATTTATTTACACTGCCATCCTCGCAACGAAATTCTGGAAAGTAATCAAGGAACATTTTGCTTCCAAGTTCATCAACTCCATTAAATAGAAAGCTCCTCAGCAAGTCCTATAAGATACAAGACAATAAGTTTGGAATTGCCCTTCAAGTTTGTTGAGGAAAAGTGCTAATCTCATATTAAGGTTACCTTCGCAAGCGTCTCCCCAATAAGCTTCTTCAAGAGTCCCTGACCTGGATCCTACTTTTCAAAAGTTTCCATGAACCAAGTTCATAAATGATACGTTACAAATATAGCGTATACTCAGTCTAATTCATTGTTAAATGGCAAGAAGGATTACTTGGTAAACATAAAATTCACCTCCCAAAGTTTAGTATCAATAAAATCCTGTTTTAAATCCTGGAAAATAGCTGTTATGTGCTGTAGCACGAGTTACCAAATCTTCTATGACATTGATAAGAATGTGAAATTCATAGGATGAGCTACACACCTGGGAAAATTATCAGTCTAAACTGATATCTAAGAAATGCAAAATCTACAATGAATCTTCTATCCTTGGAGACCATTATATGTTGTGATCCTCATATACCACTCTCTCCTTTTGCTTAGGCCTTTAGTTCATTAGGAATTTGTTGACAATATTAACACTTATAGAATGCATCACTGAGATGCTGTTGCCGCATATCTATGGCTTGGTTAATTCAAGCAGCATATGATATCCCATATGAATAATGGGACATCGTAACCAAGGCATCACCAATTCACTATTTTCTCCTTTCCTTAAAACATTTTGTGGGAAGATTATAAATGCCAGGGAGCTCTGTATCCACATGCTGGGTGTGGACGATGATAAATTAGTAATAATGTGGCAAGCATAAATGTTAATATGGTCAAATGACCAATCATATAACCGTATGAGTTCCAATATAATCTAACTACCTTTTCTGCTCTCCACGTTAGATATCTATGCTGTGCTTCACGATTGCATGAAATCTGAGATGCATCTGTCTCCTCAACAGCTCTGGCTTCTAATTCCAGCCACGCCTGAAAATTATGGGTCATACAGAAAAGTTAGTATTTTATTGGATAATATTTTTGAAAAGGAATTAAAATCATGACCCTTAAAACATCATATATTCGAGATATAGGATAATAAGAAAAGATCCTGTCATCAACACCTTGTAGTAATCCTGGAATGCAGAATACAGAATATCATAGTTTTCTGGGCTTGAAGGAAACTTGCTCCATATGACAATGGGTGAAAAAAATTGAATGGACTCGCTTGTGAGCTTCCCTCCCCATGGTAAAAGCTGCATGAAATTCGTGTTCTGTTAAGAAACCTAGATCATTATAGAAAGAAGTCAAAGAACTGCTAAGCTTCAAAGAAGCACTTGATAACTTTAAAGTGGCAAAACTAATATGTTTGCATTTACCTCAGCATATTTTAGGCCAAGAGGAATTAAGCTCCTAAAGTACTTTTCCTTGTAACCCTGCTGATTAATAATATCATGCAATGGGTTAAGGTCCCTGTAATTTTTAATGCTATGCTCCAGAGTTAGTGCTCCACATAAAACACTGTAATTTGTTTGTAATGTTTGAACTTAGAAGCTACAAAAGGAGAAGTGCAGAACTCTTGTAATATTGCCAGTACCAAAAGAAAAGTAAACTTCAAAACGCTAAGGACATCAAGAACGTTAAAAATAAAGGCGAGGCACAGTGCTATAAACTCATTGCCAACCATAAAATGGTGAAAGGAATCCAACAAGATATCTGCTTATTCTTTTTCTTTTTTTCCCCCCGTGACAGAAATCAGGATATTCATCATGAAAGTGGTAGGGTTACACTTCAAAAATTTAGACTTATGATTTAACAGTTAAATTATCTTGACCAAGTTTTAATGATGTAAATCACGTATTGATGTATACAGAATTGAAGGAAAGCACTGCACCCAAAAAAATTTAAGTACAAATCGAAAGCCATATTACCCCAATTAGGCACTCATGTTCTGAGTTATTGAGTCAAGAAAGGCTTTTCGTTGTCATTTCAACAGATTTTAATACTGTTATACCTCCATATACCAACACTTTAAGACAAACTAAATTACAAAAACTAAAATTACGGGTTTGAAATATGAGGAACCAAAACTAAAAAGGGCTCAAATTTCAAGAATAAAAAATTACATTGACCCTTCATACAAAGCTAGAAGATTTACTAGTAAAAATTATAATCCTAGATCAAGCAAATTATTAGGAAAACTAAGTCCACATAAAATCATATTCTTGAGATTTGCCACTCTAAATAATCAAAGTCAATCTATGTAAATTCTGACTGATCAGAAGAGTCGAAGAAATTGCGAGTAAAGATTGTGATGGTTGTATGCAGCAGTCCTGATTATTAGAACATGACTTCTCAACTTTCATTAAGACCCTGTGTTTGTAGTAATAAGAGAACAACTGAAAAATTATTATTTCCTAATAATGCTAACAAAATTCACAGAATATACTATGAAAAACAAGAAAGGGAAAGAAAAAGAGCGACTAGGAAAAGAGACAAAAGGAGAGAAGGAAGCCACTCTAAGGATCATAGTTTTAAAAGTGAATTTATAATTTACGAAGTAAATGTATGAGAAGAGTTTTGTCTCTATTTGCATGAAAGCACTTTTAAAAAGTGCTTTTTTGGTAACCAAACACCCCCTAAGCCTTCTTAATACCTCATAAATCCACATCAAAATATCCAAAAAAATTTTAAAAAAAAATCCATTCTGATATTTTCAAAAGATAAACTGATAAAAAAAAAAAGGTGTAAACCTTGTCCAAAGAATAATGACACATCCTTTCACAAAAGTCTGCTGGGGATAATTAATTCACTGTAAATACAATATTTATTTTCACCTAGTTCAATCAGGGTTACCAATAATACTGATCTTTTTAATTAATAAATGAAACTGTGACATTATGGTCTAGGAAAATATAGGGAGAATAAAAGTTAGGTCCCAAAAGACCAATTTAATCACTATAAGGTCCTAAAACATTTTGAAAGAAAATGATCTGCAAATATCTACAGAAACAACTGCAAATAGGAGTCTAAGGGACTTAAATGGCCTTACTTCTAGTGATTTGCAACCAAGACTCTCATATTTTCATCTATTTATATGATATTTGTGACCCATCTATCTTCCTTCAAAATGTTCGAAGACCTAACTGTCATTAAATTAGTCTTTTGAGACTTAACTGTCATTCTGATGGAATTACAGTCCCTCAATTGCCCTTGGGCTTTCTTTTAACATAAATCAACTGAGGCCCAGTCCTCACCTCATCACATTCCCTCTAAAATACATTGGTGCGCTGTGCCCAAATAATAAGGTAAAGTCGCATGCTATGTAATTACTCAGATGCTGTGCAACAAATGCTAATAGAACGTTAAATATGAATAAAATTTACTTGAAGTTCGAGCCATATAAATTTGTGAACTACACTTAAACAGGATGCATTGACTTGAAGTTCCATTAGCTTAAGAACAAATTCAGCAACCACAAAAATAGTACAAATTTCATTGTCGGTCAACAAGTTGGAGGAAGGTTTCACAGCTACAAAAAGCACATTCAGTTAACAAGGAATATGCTAACTCACAACACAATGATGTTTGATCTGCCACTCGTGAAAAAGTTAGCACAAAATATGGGTACGTCATATTCTACTTTTGGAAAGACAGCAAAATCCAGAACCTGCACAAACGGGTTCAAGAAAAAGTTATTGGCTTATTGCAAATAAGAGAATCAGCAAGTACCATGCATTGATAATTTCTAGCTCAACCCACAGGAAAGAAGATTCAGAGCATTTCATGAGGACTTCTGTTTATTTTTCTTTCATTCACTCAGACTGTCAAAATGGGCCCTAATTCATATGAAGACGAGAAAATCTGGAGAATTTATGTTCTTCTCTTCCTATAGCTTCAATTTGTCATGAAAAAAACATTTAAAGATTTCCACGAAGTAAATAATTCTACTCTGTTTTCATTATATATATGTGTGTGCGTATGGATAGATGGTAATCTTTATGATTAGAAATAGAAGTGGAGTGAGTAGAGGATAATAACAGCAAGAAGGATGAAATGTGATGCTTTATACAAAAAAGAGTGTGATCAGGAAAAATAACAAATCAATAGGTTGCTGTAATCGTGGGGTAGTTATATTTGCCAAATGCATATTCAATCGAAATGGATCCCTAACAATTGATGATGGAAATGGTCTTATGGAAAATAAAACCAAGCAAAGATGCATCACTGTCAAATCCAGCGATTGGAATTGCAACAGTTGAGAAGGGATGCCAAAACAATAATAGAAAGTCAGGACTTTTTGAGAACTACAGATGAAGCTTGAAGTATTGCAATACGCATGTATATATAAAAAACACTTTGTGACAGAGTTGATAGCTTCTTCTTGTTCTTGTTCTTGTTCTTGTTCTTCTTCTTCTTCTTTTTGGCGTAGGGAAAAGGGTCAATGGACCAAATACAAAAAAGAGCACCTCAAGACAGGCAAAAAAACATTGAAAAAGAAACTACGTGGAGCATAATCTGTTGACAGCTAATTACTACAGTTACTAATGAATTAGGAGCTGTCTGGGTTTTACACCCTAAGGAAGTCTCAAGTAAAGAGGTTTTGCAAGAAAAAATATATAGAACGACAAGTTTAGAAGATCTGTTAAAAACATTATGATGGAGACGGACCTCAATTCACTTACTCAAGAAGGAAGCCCAGGCTCAAGACTTAATATACAAGCAACTGGGGAATTTTTGTTTTGGCCGTTAGAGGCAAGAGAAGAATGGTTTTGTGCATAGGTAATTACTAGAAGGGAGCAACAAGCAGAGGCATTGGGGAGAGAGAAGCGTAAGGAACATTTTGGGAGAGCCTATGCTTTTCAAATAAAAAGGAAGCTGAGATGGTTCTAAGAGTGTTGGGAGATCGTAATTACTAGAATGGAGCAACAAGCAGAGGCATTGGAGGCTGGAATGACAAAAACAAAGCATGGAGTAGAGCACCTAGAGAGCAGAATGGAAACAATGGGTGATTTATTAGAAGCTATTCAGAAAGAGGTGAATGGACTTAGCAATCACAATAGAAGCAATGCAGTCACAGGCTCCCCTACTTCTAATATCACTAAGATTCGCTCACCAGTGATGAAGATAGGTGAAAGCAATGGAAGATTTGGGGATGGTTTCGGCCTGTGCCTCTCCAATGCACAGGAAGCTGAGATAGCTTTGCTGAGAATGTTGTTATCTTTGATTTCGGCAATCAGAGTTTTCTGTCATTTCTTGCTGATCAATGATTTAATAAGTATACTGGACCTGGTTTACATACACTGTTTTAGATGAACTTTTAAAGTAACTTAGCATTTCATGAATGAAGATAAACGGGTAAGCAACAACTGACATCAGGGTGTTTAAATAAATATTGAGGGCAATCAATCATTCTAGCTATAATAAATTAACAGCCACAACAGAAGCACTAGTTAGATGGTAGTGAGAACTGAGAACCAATCCTACTTGCTCCATCAAATTAAATAACATTGACAATGAAATACTTAAAAATTACAAATAAGTATACTTGGAAGAACCCAGAAGTTATGTAGCATTAGTGGACACTTTAAAATCAAAGGTAAAGCACATCATTTACTAACCAAACAGGAATGGAATACCTGCACTGTTTCAGTTTCAATGCTCAAACTTCGCAGAAGCCTAATCTTGGCAGCTTGAAAGGATAGCATATGAAGCATTCCTTTACCATCCTTGGAATTGATGGAACTGAATTTTTCCTAGTAAGAAAAATTTTCGTTGTAAGCATTTGTTAATGTTGACAGGATACTACTGACAATCCAGCAACCTAAATCACAGACTGCATCAACAATTTAGTAACCTAAAACATCACCTTGTGCACAAACTAAAATTAAAGCAAGTGAAATATTTCAGGAGTACCATGGGTTTCCAAAGGGTATCAAATACATTTCAAAGAAAAACAATCATGAATACAGGGAAGGATCAGGAGACTGCTTGGTGAACAAGACAATGCAACAAAAGCTGAAAATATACAGTCATGAAACAAATGTAAAATATACTTTAACTTAAAAAAAAAATGAGGAAAATGAAACATTGACCAAAGTGATTGTTTACTTTAATGTTCAATTGTAAAATTTCCTCAACCTAATGTATTTAGGAATTCTCCAAGACACTAGTTACACATGCCTATGAGGTGTCCAGTTATAAATAAAATTTTCAAAATTGGAAGTAGCATTCTATCAGAAGTACGAGCACATTATGGGCATTGATGCCCATGTGTCGGTCACAACTCCCTTTTAAATTTTAGTGCTTCACAGATTTCGGTGTTTACCCTAGCATAAATGGAATGTATATATACTTATTCGTATAAAGAAACTTTTTTGGGTATTGATCGCCATAATGAATGGAATGTCGTCACTAATCAAGTTTCCAAGGCAAATATTTTAGACAATATAAATAACCAAGAGCGAGCATCAATACTCTAAAAACGTAACCAACATAATAATCACCCCACACCCACGGCATTTTGGACCAAAGACATTTGCAGGGACATTTTATTGGACTTACATCGTTTTTGTTTCTTTTCTCTATATTTTCCCCTTGGTAGCAGGCACAACTTACAGAAAGAGTAAATCAATCAATCATAGATGCATTACGAAATTTGGTGTCCAGTGTCCATATATCTGCAACTAGAATCCACACATTTACTCATTCAGAAAACAAAGAATTTCTTAAAAATTCGATCGATATTATGTCTTTAGTTATACCCCACAGTCCTCAGTTCAAATCCTACCAACTTGAAATGCTTATAATTAATTGTTTTTCAACTTCAATGTCAAGCCAGACACCAGGATTAAATACAAAGTTAACAATCAACTACAACCAGTTCAAGAACCCTAAGACGAATAAGAAAGAGGGCATAATCCAAAGTAGTACAGACATCCGACCATACCTGTAAAGGCGAAGGGACCAAATGAGTGTGGCGTCTGGTTTCTTCCAAAGCAAAGTCGACGAACTTCCGGTAAGAGACCGAGAAGCTGCGTGCCAAGACTCTTCTGTTCCTCCAGCAGCAAGTAGAACCGCTAGTACTAGTTTTAATTAGTGGTTGGAGTGCTGGTTTAAAGCAGAGAGTTGAGGGGGAAGAGCCAATCTCCATCGAGTAAAGGCTCTGTGAGATTCTGAAGCTTTCGCAGTTTCGCTTCAGAAAATTCAGAAATCGCTATCTTCGACTTTCCTCAATGAAATTACCATCGCAGGGGCTGGGGGATAGGCGTCGAAAGGTAAGTTCGGTGGGATTGTGTAGTTCCAACTTTGATGTCTGTGCAGTGAAAGAACTCCCATGTTGCAGGATTTTTAACCAACATTTTTTTATTATAATTTGAAATTCAAAATAATCCGAACTTCAATAAAAGCCCATTTGCTGGCCTTGGGCTTTTGAAATTATTGGGCCCGCCTGAACAGCTAGAGGCTAGAGCCTTTTCCTTTTTGCGCTTTTAATGCTTACTTGCCTTTTTTTTAGTGATTTTTTAAAGTTCACATCGGAGGCCCAAAAAAAAAAAGGGGCACCATAAAATGAATAAGACAAAATCGTAAGAAAAATGACATGATTAACAAAGTTTGGGATTCATATATGAGAAGAAAAAAAAAGACACAAAACAACAAAGTTTGGGGGTTAGGTCAATAAGAAAGTCACAGATTCATTAAGATTATGAAATACTACCCTATTATAAATGTAATAGTTATATAACTAATATGTATAGATTAAAAAAAATAGTTAAATTATTTTTTAAAAATAAATATAATTTAAATATATCATAATTTAAATTATGACATAAATATCATAAGTGTGTGTCATTGTTTATAATCTATTTAAGATTCACTAACAGATTAATAATAAAATTTGCGATAAAATATTTTGTTGCAAAATTGGAATTGGTTGTCCTACTAATTAGTGGTGGAAAATTCTATTGGTAAATTTTGTGAAAAAAGCCTTTTTGAAGGGATCAACGACAAAAAATTTCATTAATGATTCTGTCATGGTTATAGAATTAGTGATGGAAGTTCTTTTTATGCAAATTTTATGTCATTAACTTCCAGTTTCTTTTGCAATGAATGCAGAAAGAAAGAGTGACAACTAACAAAAGAAAGACACAAAAGGAGAGTGACAACTCAATTGTATTAATTAATACTATCACATGACTGGTACAATCTCAATTCAAACGCTTTTCTATGATCCTTTTTTGTTGCTCCGACCAGATCTGTTTCTGCTGCTCTAAACTTAGTTTTTGCATTGATTTGTCAAGGGCATCCTCATTATTTGTCAATGATGAACTAGGCCATAATGATCCAAACGGATCATCTTCCTTTGGTGCTCCCAATAAAGGTTCATTAGAAACCTTGACACGAAATGTTGGTTCAACCCTTGTGTCCAGAAAATTTTGCTCCCAAGAAGTTGATTGAACCATATCTTCATTATTAGGATTCCTTGCAACAATGGTTGGTGTTGCTTCTGCCATTGAAAGATTATTATTTTGAATTCCAAATGTTGGACCTGGTGTTGTGCTGGTGTTCTGATGTGTATTATGGGTCTGAAAGCTTGGTATTGTGTTTGTTTGATATGAATTATGGGTCTCAAAAATCGGTTCTTTGCTCATCTGCCATGAATCATTGCTATAATAGGATGGCATTTTGCTCGTCAAATATGAATTACAAGCATGAGAAGCTGATTCTGAATTCGTTTGAGATGAACTATGACCATGAAAAATTGGTCTAGTACTTGTCTGAAATGAATTATTGTTACCTTGAAAAATTGGTTCTATGCTCACTTGGTTGGGAAATTCGGTATGAAGAGTTGGTTCTATGCTTGCCTGGTGAGAAGTATGTCTCTGGAAAGGTTGTTCATTGCATATCTGGTAAGAATTAAGGCCCACAGAGGTTGATGTTGTGCCCATCATGTAAGAATTATGGCCTTGAAAAGGTGACTCTAAGCTTGTTTGATATGAATTGTGGCCATAAAATGTTGGTGCAATGCTTAAATGATATGACTCGTGACTTGGAGAGGAGGATGCTGAATTGATCTTAAATGAATTTGAAGAACTCAGTGTGGGTGTTGTACTTGTCCAGTATGAATCATGGCCTTGAAAACTTGATGTTGAACCATTCTTGAACGAATTTTGAGAGTTGAAGGCTGGTACTATGCTCATTTGAGATGAATTATGGCCTTGAGAAGTTGATGTTGGACTAAGCTTAAATGAACTTTGAGAAGTAAAGGTTGGTCTTGTGCTAGGTTGATATGAATCATCATGGCCTTGAGAAGTAGTTGATGTTGAACCAAACTTGAATGAATTTTGAGAATTGAAAGTTGGTATTGTACTCGTCTGATATGAATGATGGCCATCAAAACCTGATGTTACACTATTATTGAACGAATTTTGAGAGCTGAATGTTGGTGCAGTGCTTGTTTGATAATATGAATCATGGCCTTGATAGGGTGATAGTGTTGAACTAAGCTTGAATGAACTTTGAGAAGAAAAGGTTGGTGCTGTTCTGGTTTGATATGAATCATCATGGCTTTGAGAAGTTGATGTTGAACCAAACTGGAATGAGTTTTGAGAATTGAAAGTTGGTCTTGTAATCATCTGATATGCATCATGATCACCTTGAAAAGATGATATTGAACTAATCTTAAAAAAATCTTGAGAATTAAAAGTTGGTGCCATACTTGTTTGATACAACTCATTACTTTGGGAAGCTAATGCTGAATTAGTCATGAATGAACCTTGAGAAGGAAAGATTGATGTTTTGCTTCCAGAAGTTGAATTTGGACTAATCTTGAATGAACCTTGAGAATGAAAGATTGAAGTAGAATTCATCCCATGATTATTTTCTTGAGAAGAAGGTACCAAAGCCATGCTATTCTCCGTAAGATCTTCCAAACTAGAGCTCGTTGGCATTGCACATGAAGTGTTTGAATTCAAGTCACCAAAAGTTGATGTCAAATCCACATCAAAACTAGAACTTTCACCAGTGAAGGTCGATACCATTACTGTTTGATTACCATCAGAGATATCAATTAAACTTGTCTGTGTTTGATCTATAGCATTGGTAAAAGGGGAAACGGTTGTATCATCAAATTCCAGAAAAGGATTGTACTGTTGATGAGGCACTGCTAAATCAGATTGATCAAACAAGGAAACAATGGCATTATTATAATCTGCTGGTGCTTTCTCTGTTGTACTGCTAGTTGCTGTCTCTGCCAAAACTAACTCCCAACAATCTTGTGAGGCATTGTTATTAGTGTTATCATTGTTACTACTAACAACGTTATTCTCACGTTTTTCTTTGTCTCCGTCATTCTGCACCTCATCGAGACTGACAAGGTCTAAACTTGACCCCATTGTTTGATCGTTAGTGTAAGAATGATTCGAACAAGACTCATAAGTACTAGATGAATCATCATTTTTCTCTGATTGCTTCTCATCTTCTTGATCATCACCATAATCTATCTCAAATCTCCTTGGCGTCAAAATCCCAGCATCAGTAGCAATCATTAAATCCTCCAAAGATGTACAATGAGATGATGCATTTTCAGACGCTGTCTCAAAGGAACTCTCTGGTGTCCCATATCTCTCATACCCTTCAAAATGAACACTTGAACTTTCCCTTAATGCAGAAACAAACAAGTGTTTTGAGAGTGGTGAGTACTGTGAAGAAGAAGAAGAAGATTGAGCACGATAATGATTGTGATTACTGAGATTAATGTCAGTGCTACTTGTTGCTTGGTCCCGTAAGAACTCTTGCAATGTCTCCAAGAGTTCTTCTGATATTTTCTGCACTTTCGGATACTCACTGCTCCTACCAACCCCAATGCTTAAACAGAATGAATAAAAATCACTTAACTCATCAAACTGCTTGCAAGATTTCACGCAGGCTTGAAATGCAGAGACACATGCCTTGTATGGTAATTTGAAGAAGCTATCTAGAATAACAGAAAGACCATCAGAGATATCCCTATAGAGATCAAAAGTCTCCTGAACGACGGCGTATAGAGAGATTTGAACTAAACGATTTGTTTTGGCTTCCCCAGTTGGTCTTGTCCCCATAGCTCTGTCCAACAAGCGTTGCCAAAAAGTAATCTTGTCAAGAAGCATTGATGGCTTCATATCTTTGATTATTCCCGCAGTATCGTTGAACATCTTGTGATTCTTGAAAGGGTTTTGATGATTCTTGAAGGTGATTCTTCGTTGAAGCTTCCCTGTTAGGAAGCAATCTAAGCGTTCATCAAGGTACAAAGCCATTAATCTGACAAAAGCAGTGAATTCCCATGGACTAGAACTTGAATCATCTCTAAATCCTGAAAGATTCAGGATTCTTGAGCCTCGTCTCATTGCATGCAAGATTTCTCTAGGAAAATATGGATCACCATCCTGGAAAATTCTGAGAATGATCATGAGAGATTTCAAGGCAACGACCCAATTTCTTGTTTTCCCAATACGTTTGCCAATAGATTGAGCACATGCAGCTGCGTAAACTTTGTTGGAGGATACGAGACTCACAATTTCATTAACATAACGTCCTTCAATGGGAATCTCATCATGTGTTGTGGCTTTGAGGATGACGACTTCAAGATTTGCTGCATTTGTTACCTTGGCGAGACTCAGGCTAGTTTGATCTTTTACTGCACCAATGGCCTTTCTAAGCTTGCTTGGCATGTTTCTGGTCTATAATTCAGATTTGATTTTGTAGTAATAACTTTGTTTTTGTCCTCAGATTTGACTTCTGGGCATGATGGATCGAATTTTCTGAGAGGGAAAATGATGGAAACTTTTTGTGATTTGGGTGAGAGAAAGGAATAATGGAAAGAGAGTAATTTGCAACATTGCTTATTTCAGCAGAGGCTAAATTTAGAGTGTGAATTTTAATGGTTGAGAGTGGAAATGGGAAAGTTTTTTTCAATTTATTATACGCGTTTTACTATTTTAAGGAAGGATGGAAAAATCTGGAGTCACCAGTTATTAAATTCGAACACACTAATAAAATCTTACAACCTAGAAAATCTAGGACTATAATGATATACGAGAGCTTATACCAAACATGCAAATCTAGTTACTACATAATCAAACAATTGATGGAAAAATTTTATGAACTTTTAAGAAGCAAGAGGAGTTTTTCCCCTTTATTTTCTCTCCCCTTTTGTTGTTTTTATCATGTATAGGAGTTTTTTTTTTTGGACATGATACGCAAAGAATTGCGAATTATAGGCGAAGGTTCTTTTTCTTGGGTGGGATTAAGCTAAAACAACTTATTTTCTGAATTTTTGAGGGATCTTGTAATTATCTCACTGACCAGCTATTTGTGCAACTCGCTTCTTCTTCTTCTTCTTTTTTTTTTTGGCGTGGTTAGATTGCTGCGTGAACATATTCTATTATGTTTATTATCTTTCTAGAAAAACAAAATTTTGGGACCAAAGTTAGTAATGGTGGGTTTGGTTGAGTTGGAAGTCACGGCAAAAAGAAGAAGAAGATATTTTTGTGGAAAGATGCTATGGTTGTTGATAAATTATATTTAAATTTGTACTCACTTTTTAAAATAATTTGATATTCAGAAAATACTTACAAAATCATCCCTTAAATATTTTAATTTTAAAATAGTTTTAATTGCTTAAGTTTTGTTTTCATTCCGATTATTTAACTCAATTTCTTTATTTAACATTATATGCGAAAATGCTTGCTTTTATTTGGGGAAAATTACACTCAGTCCCCTACAACATAATTAATAACAGCAAGTGCCTTAAAAGTTAAAACTGTAAATCCACGCCACGACTTTAGGATTCTTAATTGTAAATAATTGTTGATGCACATTTACCGAAATTTCTTAATTTAAAAAATAAATAAGTTCCCTTCCTCCAATATACAGTTGCGACCATCATCAGTTGATAAAATGTTCTCAAAATGGTTTTGTGGGGAATTGAGCTCTGGACCTCTTGGTTACTTAAATATTTTATAACCATTGAGTTATTTTTTATTAAAATTAACAATAGTGAATTCGTATTTGTTGTTTTTAATTGTTTTCGTTGATTTGAGATTGCTTTGCATATGGTTTAGGTTATTGGAACCTTGAAATAAGGGCTTAGATTCGAATTATCGTTGGTAATGATTGTGAGGGAGTTGGAATTGCAATTAATTTGAACTCCTATATGCTTCTTTTGTCTCATAGTTTATGTGATTATATGATTGTAATAGGAATTGTTGGGCTCCATGGATTGTTGTTGTTCTTCTTTTCAATGTAAACAAAGTGGTTACTTGAAAACTAAAACAATTTTCTCAACCAAAAACCAAAAAAAAAAGAACAAGAAAAAATCTTATGAAAAAAAGCGTGAAATTACTAAATTTTAAATAAAAAATTCAATAAAAATGTATTGTTATTTGTAAATTTAATGTTATTTGAAATATATATCAAAGTGTTGAAACCAAATTTGACTTGAGTTTTAGTAATTTCAAGCTTTTTTTTGGTGGGATTCTCCCAAAAAATTCTAAATTTAACGCCAGTTCTATATTTATCGGGGTAAAAAAACCCATTTTTTTCACTTGTAATATTAAACCGCGTGGAAAGTCTATTATTCATATTAGTTATTGTCGCAACCATGATAGAAGGTGAACAATTTTTTTTTGTTGGGTTTTTTAACTTTTCTCCACTCGTTATATTGGAATTAGTGTAGAAAACATTTTTTAACCGTTATATAAGAACGCCTTTCTGTACTAATATAAACTGAAAACGCTACTATTGTTCGTCAGAGGAACTGAAAATGGAAAAGAAAATTAACTAACAGGATGGAAAAGGGACCATAATATTTTTTTCGCCCAAAAAATTACCTTGCTTATGAATGGAAAATTTAAACCTCAAAAGTCAAACTTTTCTAAAGAGGAAAGAAAAAGACCCGTTGCATAAAAAGAATTGTACATGTATATATATTATACAAGACTGACAAGTAACAACAATGAATGTATGGAATTAAATAAACACTAAACAATAATCAAGGTTACATTATTACAATCATCCTTTAATTTATTTACTCTAGAAAATAATCCAAACACAATCATCAATCAAATATAAAAGATGATATTACCTCCGATTCTAATTATAAAATCTCGTTTGAATACTACAGACAGGATCTTATAATTAAAAAAAGAGTTAGTATATTATATTAAACTCCTGTGTGTGTGTGTAATCAATCTGCCTTTTCTCAGAAGCAAGCGTCCAAAACACAACAGCAACACAGTGCCGCACAACTGCATAAAATTGGTCAAACCAATGCTCAAATTAGTTCTAGCTTAAATAAAATTGGATGGAAAATCATTTTTAATTTGTAAATTTATTCAGTATCAGAATTTTCAATTGAAAAAACATGTATCAAAGGACTACTTCAATTCATACCAGGTCAAATCACCTTTCTTAATCTTTAAAATTTCAGAAAAAATTCACCTAAACATCTATCCTGTGTGGATAAATCCCATATACCTTTTAAATTATATTTTTGAGAATATGTAACCTCTCAAGATTTAAGTTATATATAAGCTCAAAAACTTTATTACTGCCAGTAGAAAAATTATTTACGTAAATGAAGGATTTTAAAAGAATTCATTGCAAAGTTTGAAAATGTGAGAAAATTATACATACATAACATTAAATTTAGGGAAATTATGTAAAATTTTCCCCAATTTAAAAATTAACTCATGTATGAGATATTACTAAGGTTTGGTAGCAGTTGAAAATCATTTTCAAATATTTTGAAAAAGTTGTAAGTGGTAGGTGCTATAATTGGGCCCACCATTTAATTTAAAGCATCAAGAAAAATGTGATACATATATATATATAGAGAGAGAGAGTATACCATCCTTTCCAGAAGCCATCGCCTCTGGACTTGGTGGTGACAGGAGCAGCATTAGGGTTTGGTGAAGGGTCAGTGGTGGGATAACCAACTGGTGGAGGAGGAGCTGTATATACACCAACTGGTGCAGTTGTTGATGGTGCATTAGGATATGCTGTTCATTTGAAAAACAAAAACAAACTAATGATTACATTAATCTTCTTGCAATTTTTTCTTAAAAAAGAAAGAAAATCTACCCATCATGATCTGAAAGAGAATAATTAAGATATGATTAAAAGGTTAACAATATTGTTGGTTCATACAGTTTAAGTTTTGGTCTGCCTTAGTTTCAAGGTGGTTTTTAATCCTATGGTTTCATAATCTGAATTAATGTTGTTAAATGTAGGGATTAAAACCAAAAATTGTTTAAAATATAGAGACTAATTAATTGTACTTTTAATATATTTTAATTTTGGTGGTGTTAACTCACACCAAATCTTTATAAAACTATAGGGGTCAAAAATCATGTTTTGAAACTATAAGAATAAAATTAAAATTGTGATCAAATTATAACAACTAATAATGGTATTAATTTTATATTAAACATAACACCTTAAGTATATATTTTTGTCCATTAAAAAATTCATTACATAAAAATTTAAATGAATCAATATCAATTATCAAAAAAATTAAGAATACAATTTTTTTTTGGGGAAAAAAAGGCCATCCATAAGTCATCATACAACTCGTGTGACGTGCCACATTCATAATCCAGTGATCTAAATTATGAGAGATTAAATGAGTAGGACCCACATGAAGAAAATTGAGGCCAATAATTATATTATCTTTCCTTCACCTTAACAACTCAGCCCGATCAAAGCAATCATAGTTTTATCATAAAGTCAGAAATTACTCCTTCATATTTTCTTTTCGATAATGTCCTTCATATTTTCTTACCACAGCAAATAATATGGAAAATTCTCATTCCTAATTCTACAAAAAGTCCTACAAATTAAAAACATGCATAACAATGTTGCCATCTCTATGTTATACTACATACAATCTCGTTTTTAGTTTACAAATAAGATCTTATAATTAAGACTGGATTTAGTATATACTTGCGGGTAAATCCATATCTTCTAGTAACTGATAAATTAATTAAATTAAATCCTAAAGTTAAAGGAGGTCAGAAGGCAAGCTAAAAACTTGACCAATCTTAATATTGCAATTAAAAACTTAATTACCTGTTGGAACACCGGAACTCATGGTTGAAGGAGTATATTTGTATATAAACCAAGCTCTTCTGCAACTAAAGAACTGAGTTGAAATGAACCAGGCGACCCAGAAATATATATATATATATATATATATATGGAGAGATCAACGAAACGTCGATGCTTACAAGAAAATAAACGAAGAAGAAGAAAAGAAAGATTCAATTTGAGGGAGGAGGAGGAAGAAGACAATGGTACATTTATAGAGAGATCATCGGAAGTTGCTTGGAAGGAATCACACGTCGCTAAGGAAAAAAGATGAGAACACGACGTCTGCATCCGCGTGAGCAATATAAAATAAATTATAATTAATTAATTGAATATTCTGAATGGACACGTGTATCTACGTTCCAGATGAATCTGATCTAATTAATTAATATCGATTTATGGTTGAAGACTAAAGTCTTATTGTTTTGTAAATTATTTTTTCAACATTTTTTGAAAAATTATCCTACATAAAGACAAGTTGCGATTTTCTATAACATACAAAATAAGTGCAATAAAAATAAAAATAAAAACAAAAACAATGTTGAGATTAAAAGTATTCTTTATATCTTTAAATAATAATTTA